ATTCAGAAGTTCGTTTAAACTCTTTGCTACGTCTGTCAATAGAATCACTAATGACAACTTCAAAGAAAACTCATATTTTCAGACAGAAGGTATGACTCTAATTTCTTAGTGTTCATGTTTTTGTGACCCTCTATTTTTTGAATGAAAAAAAATAATATATGCTTTTTCTATGTTGAATTTGGAGTATCATAGGTGAAATAAGGGCTCCAACCAATGGTATATCAAATCTCCAGTCTCCATATCAAAGGTCCATTTGGTTTCATTTCATGCTTATTCAATTTCTACTCTGTGGAAGTAGAGCTAATCTTCAAGATAGCATTTTGCAGTCTAACCTTCTCATAGATAATGAAGAAAATCTGAACCTTGCAAATTTTGGTCTAGCACGATCATTTTCAAATGACCATAATGCTAATCTTATGAATCATCAATCATGTCATTGCTTTTTTATACAGGAAAGTTATATATGTCCTCTTTTTTTGCAAAATTACTACACAAGAAACTTTTATTATATTTGATAACCATGAGTTTATATTGGCTTCCACACTTCCAGTGGCAGTCTTTGAGACTTTTTCTTTCAAACCATTGATCACCCAAGTCTCTAAAATACTTCTTCCAGCCACGAAATATAGTCCAGCTGTTGACATGTGGTCTTTTGGTTGCATATTTGCTAAACTTTTGAATGGCAAACCAAACTTCCTTGGGAAAAATGAGGTTACGACCCTACTGCAAATTTTAAATGGAAAACCAATTTTCATTCTCATAAATCAAATAGCTCAGTAGTCTTTACATAAATCCATACTTCTTGTCGCCTGCTAATGTTGTTGATATGAGTGGATGTGGGTGTGTGGTATAGTATTTATTTCGTGAACTGGTTTTCGTAATTTCTTTATAAGAAGAAGTATTTTGAATGTAATATAAAAGTAAATCCATGCCTTTAATCATTTTTAAAGTCCTGTAATTTGCCAGATTAAATGCATAATTGTTACTGGCAATTTGTTGTCTTTTCTTCTAGCCAAGAGCCTGATTTTTCGCAAAATCTTTGTTGAATGACCAGATGGAATATGGATGCTAACTGATTCAGAAGAGGTATGATGATGTTTGTTTAGCTTTTCCCAAATATCATGACACCATTTTACTAAATCTAACACTTTCAATTACAGACCCAGCAACTTCAACACAATAAATGGGAAAGAACTTACTAAAGATACATCATTATCATTATAGAAGAAAAGGATATTAATCCTGACCGCTTTATGTTTTTGTATGTAATTTATATTGAAAAGGATTAGTCTTTCACGTTTATGTATCTTGAATGAATTCATACTGCAGAGTTTTGACAGTACAAGCATTTCAATAGAAATGAAGAAAACAAGCTCACTAAGACGAGCGATTAATAGCGAAGTGAAAAAATTGGATATCTAATGCCATTGGAGGAACACAGATTGATGTTACAGTAAATGGGGTTATATAGTATTAGATTAGTAGACAACACCAAACTCTCTCAAGTCACAAATATCTTAGGAACTTAGCAAAAATACATCCTGTACTTAATTGAGCTTATAGTCATGAAATCCTCCAGAAATAGAAAAATTTGTCCCTCTTTAAACAACATAATCTACTTCCTAACATCCTGATCTAACAGTTACCTTCGTCGCCACGAGACTGAATATGGTTAACTGAGCTGTTGTTCTCAAGTTTAGATACCACCTTGGGCCCACACACCCTTGTTAATTCTTCCTGTTACGGCATCAAAATTTTAGTTATTACTCATTTACTCTTATCTCTTGTGTGCGTGTTCAGGGGGGTATTAGATCAAAAGTTAAAGACACCTTAACTAGGAAGGTCCAAACGTCGGGAAACAAACAGAGCACTTTTTTGAACTTTTTTATTATTTTTAATTTATTCGATAATGATCCAACCAGCAGATTTTTTTAATGCAATTTTTCCTCAAGATTCAAGAATGATATATAAAAAAGACTGCCTTTTTTTTTTAAATAAAAATGGTGAAACTTCTCAAGAAGTACCTTTATGGAGTCATTCTCAGACTTAAGGTTTCAAACTGGAGTGCTGCGATTTTTGTTAGGTAAGATTTTATTTTTGGGGGGGTTTTGGGATTTTATTTATTTTTGGGGATTTAGGGATTTCATTTTAGCAAATGGCGAGTTATTATT